CAACAACACACTGCACTGAAAGATGTTTTAATATTTAATCCACCGCGTCCAAAGATTTATATGGGACATTGTCATTTCAAAGACTGTTTTCTAAAAAAGCAGGATCACCCCTTTGAATAAATAAGTACCTACATACACAAAACTTTCCAATCCTGTACTTAAACTGATAGATTTTGATATCTTATTCCACTACTGATTTATTGAAGTTTTATCTCCAAATAAATGGAGGCAAACTTAGAATTTGTATGCAATTTTTCTGTGGGATTTAGTTTTCTCAAATACTAAATAAGATATCCAAAATCCCTTCTGTATATTTTTAGTATCTAGTATGACATCAAAATCCAACCAACAAATTAAAACCTGTTTTTTTTTTTTCTTGTTTCTGTTTTGAATGTCCCAAACATTGTCCATTTGGGCGGTTTTACTTAGTCAGGCTGGTGCCACCTAGTGCCTCTGTTCAATTTCATTTCTCTCCAGCGACTAGATCAGGAATTAAAATACACTAGACAGTTCGCAAAAACCCGGAAGCGCGAGTTCGGGCACCAGCCAATCGGCGAAGAGTCATAAATTCTGTGTTGGCAATGATTCTCGAGATTGAGGATTTAAAGAGAATGTTTGGTGAATTTTATCAAGGGGAAAGACGTTCTTGCCCTTCTTCCTATGGGATTTGGGAAAAGCTTAATATACCAGTTAGTCCCGTTAGGGGTGTATTACATACATCATGACCAAATAGCAGCGATTGGTTAAATTAAAAAAGTACCTGCTTAAAGCTGAGCAACGAATTCTAACGCTGCGAGGTCAGATGGTTTGCACAAAGTGAAACCAGCTGATGAATCAGGCTAGGTTTTACTACTAGTATATGAAAATACTATATGATGAAAAATGTGTATAATTTTTTTTTCTTAGATTTATGTGAGTAAATTACAGAAGAAGCTCTAAATTAAAAAAAATATTTCCTTCTCACGCTAAACCAGATGCAATTCCTGGTAATGTTCTTGTTTTAGATCGGGATGTCACAATATATTCTTTTGTTTTGAGATTAGGGCTGAACGATTTGGGGAAATTATCTAACTGTTTGTTTGTTTTTTTCTGATAAGCATTGTGATGGTGATTAGCTTTGCAATTTAGGTTTTATTCTGTTCAAAGTTCATTTTAAACAGGTCCAGGAGAATTGACAAAAAACTGAAACATGAACTGAGAGACTAATACAAGAATCACATTTCAGAACATATTTGTACAGATCTAAACTATAGGGCTAGCACCTTTTATGCAGAATAAAAAAGGTTATTTTGTTGTTTGTGGAGGTAATTATGGTACTTAAAAAATTGCAGTATTTGCAAATTCAATTTTGATTCATCTAGCAGGCCTAGTTATGATCACTGTCAGTCCAAATATCACAATTTTATGATAATCCACATTTGCTGACCCCTTAACCAAAAAAAACTATGCAATCCTTAATTCACTTCAACATTCCCTAGGAGTGAGATGCTAACTAGGGGCACTGTTATGTCTGAAACGCTATTAGACTTTAATCAGAGCTTTAATTTCACACAATCTGACTAAAAAGAACTGATTTAACTGAGTTGATTTGTACGCTCAAACAAGTCTCATAAAATGACAGTTCACAGGCTCCTGAAAATGTGTTTTTTGTGACGTGTTTTTCAGACAATCTAAAACCGTACCAGGCTGCGTTTGTTAATGTGTGCATTGTGTCACCATGATAACTGCAGAAAACTCCTCCATAGACATACATGCAGAATACCCCACCAGTGTGATGTCACTGCAAAGACCTGAAATGACTTGTGTTTACTTCTAAAATTCTCACGTCCTTACAACTTTGTTACGGAGCAGAATAATCACAGTTACTGATTAACCAAATTATCGCACCGCCTTGTCGGCAATGGCTTGAATAAACTTTTTACAAGCCACAATAAAGTTTATTCAAGCCATATCAATCTTGAGCTGCGGATTGCCAATATACCTTGGCCACTGAAATAAAATAGAGAAATAAATGCTGAACAAATATTACAATTACACAATAAAGACCTATAAATGACATAAAACAGATATAAAAATTCCTCGTAGGCTGATCCGTTCTTAGAAAGTAGAATAACCTTCCTTGTCAAACACGTGTGCATCTCAGTCGAAAGTCCTGTGGATCCAAATAAAACTACAGATCCTAAATGCTGAGTCCCAAATTGAAAGAACTTAATTACACACACACATGCGCAAAAATGACCTATCTGTATTTAGCACTTTAAATCATTCCAATGCAGAGTTTAATGCTCAGGAATTTGGTTACAAGAATGTGCTCTTACCGCTTTAAAGTACAATCACAACTGAACTTGGGGGTCCAGTTCCATATACAGAGGACAAATATAGTTTTTTTTTTTCTTTCTTAGTATCTGGAGAGACCATGACTTATGTGAAAGAAGCTCCAAAACACCCTCCCCGTGCTGCAGAGGCTGCACTAGCACTGATTCATGGTTGGCCGCAGATGCTGGGGTGTTTATGCCGTGACCATTCAGATCAGAGGGAGGCATTTTAGGTTTAAACCAGCTGGATTTCAGCACTTGAACTGACAACCCAAATGAGAGAGCCATGTGAGGGGAGATTGGGTAATCATTTTGAGAAACAAAACACTAAATTCTAACATAAACAACTTGACCATCAATGACAAAACAAAATCCAAGCACTCCAGAAAAGTGAGTCTTCATCAGGGCTTCCTCAGAATAATTTGACATTGGCCATTTAAATAAAGGCCTTTGAACTATACTTTTCCTTGTGGAACTTTTACTTTTCTGGAGTGCCTGGATTTCATTTTGTCTAAGTTTTCATATTTTTTTTCCAAGAGTGATAGGACCACCTGCGGCAAACAGCCACATTTTTGTTTGTACAGCTTCCAATGTTTTCATGATTAAAGTAAATGCAAAATCAATTTATTTGACATTTCTACCATGTTATAACATTGTTTCTTGATTAAAAACATGCCTGAAGAGGTTTGAGATGTCATCCATGCATGTTTGAGTATTTTAGCAATTTACCCTATTTGAACCCTCTTTATGGTTAGCTGAAAGATTCTGTGCAATGACTACAGACTAGTTATGTATGAAAATTATAAAAATTTGGTGGATTGGTAGCGAGTTTTGACCCTGCAACCTTCTGATTTGTGGGTGAACGTCTTTACCAATCTCCACATCTCTGACTCGCCATTATCCTGTGAAGATTTTAGATTTTCCAACTGCTACAAATCACTAATTGACCTTAAGTGCATGTCATTTTTTATGATCTATTACATATTTTCAGATAGAAAAATGTTGAAATGATGGATCTGACTTGATAAAATGGGCAAATGAGAGTGCACTGTTTCTGCTCAACTTAATGGGTTCCCTCCATGTTTTTAGATTGCCTGTAGGTGTGGGAGATTCTGACCTAACATACCAAGAAATGAAGGACTTTTGGGTGGATTTGTTCCAGTTAAGGAGGCTGTGACAGGGAGGGCATCTGGCACATAGACATAGACATATCACATTACAGTGCTTTTGTTTTTGTATGGAGAGTAATAGAGATGGGAGGTATGGCTCAATGGAAACTAGACTTTTCCACAGCATGACATTAAGCATATCAATCTCCAGGGAGACAAGCAGGAGACAACACTAGGGGTAAGATCTGTGAAGATTGGGAAGTTTGACCTCTGTCCAAGCAGCGTTGGAGAATGTGTCAAATGGAATCTGGTTGAAGGCACCCTGTCAGGAGGAATGTTTTGGGTTCAAGGATTCAAGGATTTATTATGATTGTCACAAGTAACAACAAAATTACATTTAGAGCAGGGGTCACCAAACTTTTTTTCTCTGGGGGCCACATTATTGCTCCTGACTGTGATGGGGGCCGGGGTCGGGTCGGCCGACAAAGGAATACGTGCTGTTGTGCAGCCAGTCCACCTTTCAGCCGCCAAATCTTGTCTTTTCTCATTTGTCCTCGCAAACCAGCATACTCTTTGTGGCGGGTTTCGTAGTGATAACACAGATTATATTCTTTGAAAACCGCCACACTTTCTTTAAATATCAGACAAACTGCACGGTCCTTACACTGAACAAAAAAATAATCTGTCGTCCACTGGTCTTTGAAAACTCGGCGCACTCTGTCAACTTTTCTTACGAGACATTTTGTGTTGACTGTCTTTGTTTGATCTCGAGCTTTCAGGTGATGAAAATTCAGTGGCAAATGTAAATACATACAATCAAGATGCAAATGCGTTGTTATTTGCCAAAACATATCACATTACAGTGCTTTTGTTTTTGTATGGAGAGTAATAGAGATGGGAGGTATGGCTCAATGGAAACATTTATATTATATAAATTATTATATATTTCTCATTTTGACAATTACCCCCCTTTTCACTGCCACCCACCGGCCTAGTCCATTACTTTGTTCTCCAATTTTATTTTCTTAATTGATGATACGCATATTATTCATGAGTGTTGCATAGTCGTTTTGGTATAAATGCAACAAAAACATCCAACAACTTCATGTTTTTTTGTTGTGATGACGTTTATGGCGACATCAGCTCCCACTGAGAAACTCAGTTTTCTAACACAAAAGTCAGCAGACTTATTTCTTTTATTAAGGTTTTTTAGATGAATATACACAATACACAATAACTTAAAAACTTGGTGCGATGTGCGAATGCATGTATATTGTGTTGTGATGGCACTCTGAAGTGAGATTGACTTAGCACAGAGAGCAAAGGGAGGGGTTAGGGTTTATTTAAAAACAAAAATGAGACTTATAAAACATGTTAATACGCATTCTGCATATATACCATTTGCTATATATAGCAGGTGCTAGTGTTTGCTAACTTTGCTGTCTTGCCAGCTCTGGAGTTGCGCCAAATCAAATGCTTTGTGCAAGAGATTAGGAGATACTCACTCATTCACTCACTTACAACAGCTGCTTGTGCTTACATTTCCCTCTCTCCCCTCTTCTCCCTCTTTTCGCAGACTGTTCGTAAACTTCCCCTCATCCAAGCAGTATTTCAGCCAGTTCAAGCACATTGAGGAGGTAGAGGAGCTGGAGAGCAGCGCCCAGCTGAAGAAGCACGCCCATCGGGTCATGAACGCCCTCAACAGTCTGGTTGAGAGCCTGGAGAATGCAGAGAAGGTGGCCCAGATCCTCAAGTCTCTGGGCAAGTCGCACGCACTGAGACACAAGGTGGACCCGGTCTATTTCAAGGTGAGACACTTCAGCAATAAACCACAATATGGCCAAAGGCTGGTGGTTTGAACCTTGTACCCACATATACGTGAATACTCTTGTTTTTGTCAATAGGCAAGGCACCTGACCCACCTTTCCCAGTGTCTGTAAACACTATACACTCATAATTACATAATTTGGAGTTTTGGTTCTCATGACTAATTGTTCACTCAAGTAGCAGAATGAGATTCAGATGAGTCTCTTATTTGGGTGAAATCCAGGTGGTTTAAACCTAAGATGGCTCTCTCTGATCTGAATGGTCACTGCCTAAACCCCAGCATCTGCACTCAATCATGAATCAGCAGCCTCTGCAGCTCAGGCAGTGAATTCTGGAGGTTCTGAGCTTTGAGGCATCGCTTATCTATATACTGAAATTTGTCCCCTCTTATCTCAAAGTTTAGGCACTAGCAACACAGGCAATATATTTTTTAAAACCACAAGAGCATAGAGTAGATACACTTCCTTTGAAAATTAAAAATGTTATTTCAACATGTCTACTGACATAAAATATGCACCAATACATCTGGGTCCAGCAAATTTTTCCTCAGGACACTGAGGAGGCAAACAGGTGTGTGCACCTCCTTTTATATCGAGGGACCTGACAAACTCCTCTGAGAATTTAGAAGAATGTGTGTGGATATTCACATCTTATTTATAAACACAATAAATCTGGATGTATGTACCAAGAGTAATGAATTTGATAATACACCAGACTAATGAGTTGCAAACAAAAGTGGACTTGTATAAGAGCTATTGTCAAATCACAATTTCACACAAAGATGCAGAGTAGAAGTACTCAGAAGTACTAAGTCTACATTTTTCCTGATGAATCTTATGGATGAACATGTGCTTTGTATTTGTGCCTGGTGGAATCATCTGCTTGTCTCCACTGAAAGATAAATGCAGTGTCATACTGTGGACCTTTAAAGGTATTTCTATGGCGACAAGGACCAAAACTTTTACAAAACTGTGAAAAGCTGCAATATGTTTGTTTAGAAGTCCTATATCTGGTAAAATTGTCTCTTATGAGCTTCAAGCCATGTTAGAATGTCGTTACCTCATCAAAATCATTCCTGGAGTTGTGTTTTGTTTTATTCATATGTTTGAGTAACCCTTTATTATTAATCTGTCTACATCTCCAGACCTTCATAGGCTGTAGTTCCAAGAAATTCACATCCACAGTGACTATTGATTACATCTGTAAAGTATCGACAGGACACGCAACTGACACCAAAAATATTGTTCCCTTCCAGATCCTGAGCGGCGTGATCCTGGAGGTCCTTCCCGAGGCATTCCCACAGGTGGTCACTCCGGAGGTGGGCGCGGCGTGGACCAAGCTCCTGGCCTCTGTCTACTGCGGAATCTCTGCCGTGTACGAGGAAGTGGGCTGGACCAAGCTGTCCACGTCCAGCGGGTGACCTGTCCGGATCGTACCAACCGGGATCACGTACCACACAGACGCTTGAATGGCCTCTTTACCTAAGGAATCAACTCAACTTAAACTCTATAAAAGAAAGCAATGTATCTGAGAAAATGTATAAAATATAGTTTGTGTAACATTAGATAAAACTGGATGATTAATATGCATATACAATATTATAATGTACCAATAATAATAAATGAGTAGGTATCATAGCCTATAGCAGCAGATGCACGTATACTGTTAAAACTGCCACTATCTTTACCATAGTTTGGGACCAATGGATTGCAATGAAGGGACAAAGTCATAGGAAATGCCAGCAGTGGACTCAGCTCTTATTGGACTTGGATGTGCCTTCTATTGAATGTGTATATCGAGAAACTGCCATGTAAATACCATTCGGAAATCCTCCTCGTGCTGTTTTACTATTAGAAGTGTCGACCCACACGTGTCCTAGAGAGATGTTTTTACATTTATAACAGATTATAGTGACGATTGTACATTTTTACATTATCCTTTGTATATGTATTAAACACACTATATGAAAAAAAAACTGTGAATCCCATTTCTTATTTTTCCATTGCAGTAAGGAGGCCTAATCTTAAAGGTGCATTATGTAACTTTTCAAGAGGAGCGTCTGCAACCAGCTTGTTTTTAAACAGCTGTTATTACTTTGTCTAGACTTTTCCACAGCATGACATTAAACATATCAATCTCCAGGGAGACAAGCAGGAGACAACACCAGAGGTAAGATCTGTGAAGATTGAGAAGTTTGACCTCTGTCCAAGCAGCGTTGGAGAATGTGTCAAATGGAATCTGGCTGGAGGCACCCTGTCAGGAGGAATGTTTTGGGTTCAAGAATTCAAGGATTTATGATTGTCACAAGTAACAACAAAATTACGTTTAGAGCAGGGGTCACCAAACTTTTTTCTCTGGGGGCCACATTATTGCTCCTGACTGTGATGGGGGTCCGGGGTCGGGTCGGCCGACAAAGGAATACGTGCTGTTGAGCAGCTAGTCCGCCTTTCAGCCTCCAAATCTTGTCTTCTCTCGTTTGCCCTCGCAAGCCAGCATACTCTTTGTGGCAGGTTTCGTAGTGATGACGCAGATTATATTCTTTGAAAACCGCCACACTTTCTTTACATATCAAACAAACTGCACGGTCCTTACACTGAACAAAAAAATAATCTGTCGTCCACTGGTCTTTGAAAAGTCGGCGCACTCTGTCAACTTTTCGTACTTTAACATGAGACATTTTGTCTTGACTGTCTTTGTTTGATCTCGAGCTTTCAGGTGACGAAAACTCTGTGGCAAGTGTAAATACATACAATCAAGATGCAGACGTGTTATTATTTGCCAAAAAGTAATTTTAAAAAATAAGCCATGACAACTTTTGAGGACTACCTCATAGGGCCAGTTCAAGTGGTGGGGGGCAGAGGGGCTGGGGGTCGGTCAAAGGGGCGTGGAGGTGCAAAACTATGTCAGGGCAATTCAAAAAAGTGCAAATACTGGAATGCAAATGTTTACACTATAGCAGCATATTATATGAGTAACATAACAATATGACTTAAAGGCAGAGGTTGATGTAGCAGTATAAAGTGCAGAGTCCAGTTCAGTTATGGCAGGTGTGACGAGTGGAAGGTTATGTGGGGACGTAGGTGGAAGGAGGGGGGAGAGGGGAGAGGGGGTTAGTGCACAAAACGCCCAGAGGAAACCCACTCAGACACAAAGAGAACATGCAAACTCCACACAGAAAGGCCCAGGCAACTCGGGAGTCGAACCCGGACCCTACGTGCTGTGAGGCATGAGTGCCACCGTGCCATTCTTCATCAAACACTTGTAACTGATTTCAAGATAAACAAGTTTAATGTAAACACTCCAGCAGAAAGGTTACATAGTGCATGTTTACTAAGTTTATCTTGATTTGGATCGATTTTTGACTCATTGCTTTATAACTTTATAACATGGAAATAGCATAAATAAGATGGAAAGGGCAAAAAGTCTCATTGTAGGCTCGTAGTCGACTGAAGACGTGCTGCCGATTGATTAGCCGACTAAAAAGGGGCATGGCAAAAGCTCTGAAAACTGTTATGAATCTGTGTATCTGACCTCAGCTGCACTCACAAGACTAGAACTGCACAGGAGTTGAATGCGAAAACAAAAGTATATGCAGAAAAAACAAACCAAAACAAGTAAACAATGTATTTTTATAAAGACAGATTAAACTTGTGAATCACCTGAATTTAATCAGCCTTTTTACATATACATATCACAATAGTATATTATAATAATTTAATTAACCCAGTACCTAATTTTATATGAAGAATACTGAAACATGGTTAGTATTTTGTTAGCTGTTTATTTTCATTCACACATGTTTGAGTAATTCTTTATTATTAGTTTGTCTACACCCCTAAAGCTCAAAGTGTTCTCTTCCACCTTGTGATTTCATGAAATTAACAGCTCATTTTATCTTTAGTTCAGTAAAAATGGGCAATTTGAGGGCTGAAATAATCCAAATGATTGTAGTGAAGGTGTATGGAGTTTAAAAACATGGTGGATCACTTCCTGTATTACCAGATGACATCACAAAGTGGAAGGAGTGTTTTCTGTTTGAGAGAATAACTCAGTCTAAATATGCAGGATTTGTGAGTTAAACATGAGAACTCCAGGTCTGCTTGTGATGAGGAAACAACATTATAACAGATCAGAAAATGATGCAAGTTGGTTGGTAAAAAACACTCAAATCAAGATAATTCTCTCCTTGATACACTAACACTTCATTCCTCCTTTAACTTGCCCTAGTGATCCCTTACTCTCCGCTTGAGTCAGCAGTGCTAATTATAAGTAGCTTGGAGGTCTGTCTATTTTTATCTCCATTTATCCCACTATGGCTTTTCTTCTCCTAATATATTGCAGGATGGTTGCAGCGAGCCTAGGGGGAAGTCATTACGCCGGTATTTTTAGAAACAGCCTAGTAATATCTCCAACAATGATCCGCTGGGCCCTATTTTCGGTCGAAGCACAATAAAAGACTGCTCATTGAGATTCCTGCAAAGAGAGAGTTGCTATAGGATTGTCATAATGAAAGGGCCTGTAACTGATTTTAAAGAAGGAGTATTATGCAAAATGGACTTTTTGGAGATTTCTGCTATGTCATAACGTTCAAAAACAGTAATTTGGCGATCTCTCTGGGGGCGTATTTGAAAGTTCCCTACGGTTAGTTGTAAAATTCTGTACAATGCTGAGCCCACAAGCCTATCCATGTTCCCACAGGACAATTTTTCATAAGTGTACAAAAGCAGAATACAAAACAATGCACTACAACTTCACAAACCGGATGCAATGTGCAGTAGTTTCATTAGCGGGATGCAAGCTGATTGTGTTGTATTTGGCTCTGAAGGGGGAGCGACTTAGCATAGGCAGGAGGGACTCAAAGTGTCAGGAAAGAAAATAAAGCATGAAACAATAATATAACATTTTTCAATACCATAAAAGCTTGCATAGTGATCTAAATATATTGACTGTTAGTGGTTAATATCCCATATAAATGTAGTAACACCCAGTTTTTAAAGTGACAGTCTGGAATTTTGGACAAAGGACCTCATTTCCTAGTGAGACAGAGTGTTGGAGACATGTGGAGACACTTTTTTAAATATTCCATCCAGTCCATGTATTTGCAGAGGTCGCTGGTGCTAGACTAGTGCATGTCAATGGTCATAGTTATCCTGACACTAAAAACAGTTTTACCCACTCCACAAAACACCCGAGACAAATCTATTATTACACCAGACTGTCGATGTGAATGTCTGTGTTGATAGAATAATGTTTGAAATACACATGTTGAGGGACTATTTTCTCATATTTCAGTCCGCCACTGCCAAGTTTTCTATCAAGAAGGAACAAGTCGCTGCTGCTGCTCAGACATAAATCCTTCAGATGCAAGGTTGGTTTTACTTCTAAAATTATTCTATCAACACAGACATTCACATCGACAGTCTGGCATAATAAAATATTTGCTTTGGGTGTTTTGTGGAGTGGGTAAGACTGTTTTTAGTGGCAGCATAACTATGGTCAATGACATGCACTAGCCTAGCACGAGCGACCTCTGCAAATACAAGGACTGAATGGAATATCTAGATAGAACTGGAAGGAATTAAAAAGTGTCTCCACACGTCTCCAACATTCTGGATAACTAGGAAATGAGGCCCTATGTCCAAAATTCCACACTGTCCCTTTAATTTATTCACATCACATTCACATTCACATTCAGATGCTATTTTCATCATGTATTGTATGCTAAAAACTGCTAAATAACTAAGAAATTGAGACTTTTATATAGACTCTGTTGATGTAATAGATAATTTTCTCAAGGAATATCTCCTACAAAAACTACGTTGTCACCTTTTTTCGTCCAGTCAGGCACATTGTTGCTATGAGTCATGGGAAACCAAGTGCCTGTGGCTTAAAATCAAACCGTAAGCATAGGAAACTATAATGCAATAACTGCCTGACACTGTCCCAGGTGCTTGTTTTTGTTTTTGTGTTATGGTGCAATATCACAGGGGCACAATGGACCAAGCGGGTGGGGCCAAAAGTACAAATTGTTTCAAACATGTTTCTGAGTAATGGTTTGAAATCAGTTATGCAGAATCGATAGGTGGGGTTCAGTAGATTAATGATATGACGAACAGTTAATATCTGTGTAATTATGTGTTGTGAAATCAACCAGCACTGTCTCAAAGTTCATCGTCTTCTCTGACAAATGAACCCAATCAGTTATTCAGTTGAAATGTCAATAAAGCTGCTGTACCTGATGTGACAAATACAGTAGAACTAGTTCGTTTTAAACAGTTTGCAGTGGTCCAGCGTTATCGCTCACTTGCTTTACACATCCGAATATCCTAATTATTCACCTCAGCTCTTTTCTCAACTCTCAGAAACCAGTGCGGAGTTTAGTCCAATGAGATTCATTTGGTCTTCCGATATTTAATGTTATTAGGTTCTTTATTCAGACCTGGAGTTTTGTTTTATACCTGACAGTTTCGACTGCTCACTAGCGGTCTTCCTCAGAGTGGAACATAGAACAGAATGCGAGAAGGAAACAGCGAAGGCGTGCACACGAGCAACAAAACACAAAGCAGAACAGGAACAACTCAAATCGGCCATTTCTGACCATTGTAAAAGAGAGAACCACATTATGGATTGGGATGGAGCAAACATCATTGGGACAGAGGAGAACAAACATCGCCGCTGGATTAAAGAAGCAATCGAAATACGGGAACGTGCCCACAGGACTGTAAACTGGGACGAGGGGGCCTTTTTACTCTCACACACCTGGGATACTGTCCTGAGGAAGTCGGACTGCAGATGGCGCTGTCGTCCTGCCTCCACCGGTAGGAAGGCAGCGCCAAAACCTGTTTAAATCAGCTGACCAGACACGTCACAGCAACATCACGTGACTCTGAGGAAGACCGCTAGTGAGCAGTCGAAACTGTCAGGTATGAAACAAAACTCCAGGTCTGAAAAAAGAACCTAATAACATCAGTGTGG